GGAGGTCTTATCAGTGCCCCCCTAATTCCTGCAGGATTCCGGTCATTCCTGCGGATTCTGGTGGATTCCGGAGGAGTGAAATTTAGCAGGGAGGCCTGCTATTTTCATCATTCCGGTGCTTTACCATTCCGGCGGAATTTCAGCATTCCGGAATTGTGACCAGAATGGTCCCCGGATTGGCAAAAACGGAATGCCACCGGAATCCGGTTTGTCTGGCACAAGCCCATTGCCAAACAATTGTTTGTTTGGCAACGGCTTTCACACTCATCCAAACACAACCCTCTCTCCTCCCACCACCACCGTCGTCGCTCCACGTAACCGCCCCCCTCATGTTGTGAGTGCCCGCCATGGGCTAAGCGATGTGAGGGGGCTCACATCGACCACCACACCGCTCACCCGACATCCAACATCATTGCCAACACCACAACGCTGTGCCATGTCACCACGGCACACGAACCAGGTAAGCACCCACAACCCCCTCTCCCCTCGTTTCTCAACACGAAAACCAGGTGCCACGTCGCTGACTGCGACGTGGCACCAAAACGACGGCAACAGGTCTCATACCCCATGACGGCACCACCCCAGCACTCCCGAAACAACGTTCAGCGCCCACACGAAACACGACAGCACCACTTCACTCATGGAAACACCCCACCCAGCACCCACAATGGCCGCCCAGCACCCACGACAGTGCACAACAGCACACCGCGTCCACGAAAACTCCCCACCGCCCACGAAAACTCCCCAGCATATACGAAAACAACACGCCGCCCACGAAACGAAGCCCAGCGCCCACGTACACCTCCAACGGACGCGAAACAACACCCCACAGACATGAAACAGCACCCAGCACCCACGTACACCGCCAGCGCCCACGAAACGACGCCCATGCCAACACCTAACGCCCACAACGCAATGCCCAGCGGACACGACGCCAACGAGGACGACAACACGCCAGGAGATGACATGTGAAAATGACGACACGACGCAATGATGCATCGACAATGCACGCCAATGAGACCACTCCCTCCTCCTCCCCTGCTGCTCACCACTCCTTCCTCTCCCTACTGCTCACCCACTACCCACCATCCCCTTCCCCCTCCCTTACTCCCCCTCCTTTCCTGCTCACCACTCCCTCCCTCTCCCTCCCTCTCCCTACCCCCTTCATTCCCTACCCCCTCCCTTCATTCCTACCCCCTGTCTTCATTCCCCTACCCCTGGCCTTCATTCCCTCATTCCGTACCTCCCATTTTCCTCATTTGCCCCTCCCTTCAGTTCTTCCCCCCCTCTAGTTCTTCATCCCCCCACTCCCCAGCACCCCTACCCCTCCACTCCTTCCCCCTCACTCCCTCCACTCCCTCCACTTTTCCCCTCTCCCTCCACTCCTCCCCCTGCCTCCACTCCTCCCCCTCCCTCTATCTAGATTCAATGTAGATAAATTCCATCATGTATTTTTAATAACTGAGTTGAAATGAATCTTCCCTCTTTAAGTATAAATGTCCTAAGGAATCCTAAGATTAAGTTGTCAGCAGAAGGCCTGAGTTAGATTCAGTCACATAATATCTCCTTACTTTGTCCAAGGTCTGATCAGAACTAATACTGAAAACTGATCAGCTTAAAAAGTACTGAGAGAAGTATGCAGAAGTGTGTATTGGTGTAAATGTATGTTGTATCTGTGATTTTACTTCTATTCCAGTCCCATTCCTGCAGATTCCGGTCCCATTCCTGCGGATTCCTGTGGATTCCGGTCCCATTCCTCTGGAATCCACTGGAATCTGCAGGAATGACCGGAATCCTGCAGGAATGGGAGGGGCACTGTAAAGTACTGCAGCAAGGTGAATGGGTGGGGTGGTTTGTTCGCGGGTGGAATGAAATGACGATGACGACATTCATCGTTGTCCATCATCTGGTTGCCACACTGCTGGCTTACCTGGGCTTTCTGCTCGCCGTCGTTCCCACCCATCTGTGGTTGTCATCAGCATCATTGTTGTTGTTGTCGCCAGCATGGTTGTCATGGTTGTCGTCGGTGTTGTCAACATTGTTGTCGCGGGCGGTGTGGCTTGAGACAGTGGGGTGGATGGTGGTGGTGGTGGTGAAAGGAAGAAGCGATGTGGCAATGCGACAGCTATAGCTGTCACGTTTGAGATGCCACATGACAAACAATGCTATATACATACCTTTATTTTACCTTATAACAAAGCTGGTGTGGCTCAGGTGGTTACAGTGCTGCTTCCATTCACAACGTCATGGGTTCAATTCTCTCAGGTGCAAAATTTATTTTTTACTTAAATATAGTAAGGACACTATAAATACTATATCTATATGTATTCTAATGGTATAATGGTCATTAATTCCTTCCATGAAATCCATATGAACTGCTCCATGAAATCCATATGGACTGCTCCATGGAATAAATGTGGATATGCCTGCATTCCATATGGAATCCAATGGAATCCAGATGGAGTGGTGTTGGAGTCCATATGGAATTAATCATTGCATGACCATTCCAGGATCATTCCATATGGAATCCATCATGTCCATGGAATCAGAAATTGGCTGGGTCCTCAGCCAACATTGATTCCATGGATTCCATATGGAATAACCCAGGGAAGGTAAAGACCTCCAATGGAATGGCAGTGGATTGCAGTGGTGGCAGGACTGGGTCAGTGTTTCGTGATGGTGTCATGTGACATGTGTGATGTGACAGGAGCGTCACTTATCAGGAATTTCCCACCCCCATTGGGAGGTTGAATAGGGTGACATTTTACCCAAAGTTTCTTATTTTTCTCTGCTGTGTAGACTCGAAACCAGTCACCTCGAGTAATCACGATGTAAAATCTGAGGGAGAGGGAGTATCTTTTTTGGGTAAGTAGGAAGGCAGTAATTACTCCTATGGTGACTGGTAGGACTTCATCATGATTTAGCATAGGGCTTTTTTAAACTCTGGCATTACTTATATATGGTAGCATTCCCTGCACACCTTCTTATGCACTCTACTATTTTGCTTCGTAGATACACCAGAATCAATGGAATTTCAGTGAAGTCCCTCCAAATAACTTCTTGTATTGAAAAATACAAACCAGCAAAGAGGAAAGATTTTTATACTAACCGAAATAGTATTCACAAGTTCAGTTCAGTCCGGTTTTTTGCCCCCAAAATGCGCAACCATGGACTGCAACTGGTCTAGGACTGACCCAGATATTGAGGGAACCGAACCGAACCACCTAGGACTGGTCTTTTGCAGTCTATGAAACTGGTTCAGACTGATCCAGACCGGTTTTCTTGCATCTAATTTATTATACCAATATAAATCATTTTTATCTCAACTATTATTACTCTGAAAAATAAACAGGTTATATGAAATAGTAAAGCATGCAAATACCCGTCATTCTACCAATTTTTAAGAGATTTAATGAAGATTTGACATAGCTATGACTGAAACCGAATTACATCTCCTAGAGACTTGGGTAAAATATAGATTTGGTTATATCTTTCTCAAATCTTAACCGTTTTTGATAAAACAAAGACCCAATAAAAGGTAATAAATGTGGTTACAAGGGTATGTAACGCACGTGACCATTTAACCAGTTGTAACCGATT